CTCGTCTTTTTGACCCATAATCAGCTTGAGTGAGCAACTTGGTTCTTATGGGTCCCAAAGCTGGGTGGGGGCTGTATAATAAGCCGGGCCTCCACATTAGACTCTATGTTATAAACGTACTCTTAAGCAGTACATAAATTATAAACGTACTCTTAATAGTACGAGGAACTTAAGTTTCCTAAATGTACGTTTAATAGTACGAGGAACTTAAGCTTCCTAAATGTACTCTTAATAGTACGAAGAACTTAAGTTTCCTAAAATGGTTTTTAATGGTTTTTTACCATTTTACATATCAGATATTTGGACTAGGCCATTAAAAGGCCTCAGTAAAATACCAAACATAAAAAGTTGGTCTAGTTCTATTAATAGAACTTTATTTACTTTCCAATTATAATTATATCTGAATACTTCGGTAGCGAGATGGCTCAACCGAATATAGGTTTCTAAGGACTATTAACGTTACCTAGTTGATCCTCCGATAAGCCAACCAGATGTGCCAGTCTGATGAAGGCTAAGTCGGTAATTCTTGATAGTGGCAAGTTATTGGTAAAGACAATAACTAAGGACATCGAGAGTATTTTTCTTTTTTCTTTTTTTTCTTTCTAAAGATAGGATTTTATGAGTCTCTGGATTCGCCCCAACGAAACATACCATAGTTTCTAATAGAGCGACAACGAAACACTAAATAAAATCCCTTCAGCCGAAACAGTACTGAGAGGAATATATATAGGCAATGTCTCAGCCTCACAATCCCTCAAGTTATTGCTGTTTCCACGAGGCATACCTAACTTTACTAAATGTCTCATTTAGTTTATTTGCTTTGATATTTACACGATACTTAGAATTTACCTACGCGTTTATTTATTCTAAGGCATTAGTATCGCCTTAATAGACCGAATCTTACACATACATACATACATATATACATACATACATACATACATACATACATACATACATACATACATACATACATACATACATACATACATACATACATACATACATACATACATACATACATACATACATACATACATACATACATACATACATACATACATACATACATACATACATACATACATACATACATACATACATACATATATAGGTACATACGAACATACGAACATAGGTACATACGAACATAGGTACATACGTACATAGGTACGTACGTACATAGGCACATACGTACATACGTACATACATACATACGTACATACATACATACGTAAACACGTACATACGTACATACGCACATACGTACATACGTACATACGTACATATGTACGTGCACACACACACATATATATATATATATATAATATAATATATATATAAATATGTATATATAGACTATCATGCTCCTGCTTGACTCTCTGCAGCTCATCGTTGCGCAGCATGAGTTCATATTCCAGCATAGCCTTCTTCTCCTCACTTTGTTCAATCTCGTTAGCATTGGTCCTCAAAGCATTTGTGTGCTCATCCGTGAGAAAAGATAAATGCGACCGCATTCTCTCAAGCTGAAACTCCTTCAAACGTAGCTCCGTATTCAACGAATCCAGACGAGCTTCGAGTTTGGGTTCATCAACGTTATCCGCATCAATCATAACCAGATAATCCCGAATTAAGTTTGTAAAAGAATAGACGGAGATGCAGTACATTACGTTGAAATGGTATCGCCGTAGATCGGCAACTGTGCACTGCACTCTTGTACATCCTTGAATGATGCATTGGCTCGAAATAGATACTCCGGTTGCATCGCAATCATCCGATGTACACTCATGGAGGTTGGGAGACTCACCAAGCGGTTCGCCGTCGAAGACTGAATGTACCATAAAAGTAATCTCAGTCACCGATTGAGTAACGACAGTCACCATAGAGTTGCCCTGGGCGCTGATATTCGTGCACATGTCAACATGGTTCTCCTTGGTCAGACGTCGTGCATGTGCCCTGAAGGCAGCAGCCGTAATAGTGGCAAGTTTGGTAGGCTTGATAAAGGTACCGATTCCATTCCTGAAATTGGCTTCGTTAATCATATTGGATAGTGCTCTGTTTTAATGATACATATTCTTCGGTGTAGTTTTGCTTATGCCGGAAGTAAGCAAGGACGTCGCCCGAGAATCTACCACTGATGATTTTGCATCCAAATTTACGGCTAACAGCTTGATGTACGCCTGCTTCTACCCTGTTTGTTCCACGGGGATATTTATAGAGTGTAAGTCCCACCTTTATCGCATCTTACCGTGACAATAAATTTGACTCCGAGCGGATCAGACACATACCTTTTCACTATCAATACCGTTACCTTCTCACTCTGCTTACGTGCTTAGGCATTAAAGAAAGGCTTGTTGATGACAGTACCTATCTTATCTTTGAACATATTGAATATTCTACTTGTTCAGTGCTGTAGATTAAAGGGTTTAGGCATGATGCGTGGCACTTGTCGTCGTATGTATCGTCTTCCACGAATTGGGTTAAAAGACTTTTTATACGTTAATCCACGAGACAATAGAACAGTTTCTACTGCTTGGCATGCATCGCCGTTATCGATGAACAAGGCATCAATATATATCTATCAGAAGTGCCAGTGGTAAGCATGCTTCTTGCTTATCTTGATCAAGTCGATCAAGTGAGATATATCTTTAAGTACATGACGATACATAGACACTGAATCAGCTTCATCTAATCTTCACTATCACTGTCATCACCAACGGCGTCTTCGTAGGAGGCGTAGTTCACCTCATCACCCTCTGATTCACCATCCGGATTTGCCTCATGATCCAATTCACTGTCGAAATCAGACTACCTTTCGTCGCCTAATTCAATTCATTTTCGAAGTTTATTGACTCTGGACTATCTGTCGACGTGGTGTCATTCAAAGCTCTAGCTCCTCTCCTAGTTAATAGCACCATAATCGTACGTACACACTCGAATACTATGTGCTTCTACTCTCCAAACGTGTTATAAAGACGCGTGACTTTTATGTTTATATTGTAAGTATGAGCTGATTAAAAATGGTACGGTATTGTCCTGATAAACCGTGCGCCAACAATCCACCACATCGAAATTAAGCCAATAAGGGTACGTCTTTAATACAGTTTTGGTTTCAAAATTCGAATATAATTCAACTTCTGACATCTCTTGACCAATACCATGTCTCACTTGTTGTGGTCCTGACCTCCCTGACCTTCTATTTAATAATCACTGCTACTACTTGTTATAACCTACACTAGAAAGTTATCGAATCAGTTGGTATATTTGTCGCAGCACCTTTTCTCATCGACTACTTTTTTTACGCCCAATGAAAAAAAAATACTTACAACAAATCCTACATAAAAAAAATCCCGGAATTGAAATAAATCATATAGTATAAATATATGAAATTGGTATGACCCACAGTATGACCGTGGGTCCGCCAGTAGAAATAAAAACTTCATGACCGCAAGCCCGTCGTGTTATTTTATTCATTAGTTGGGTGTGGTGGGATGGATTGAAGAAAATGTGTGGACTGGCCAACTGAGCGACTATGGTTGTGCGTTACTTGTCTCCCCTGCTTAAATACGCAGACTGGAGACTCTATTAGACTGTCAATTATAAGAGCTCAGAAGAAGTGCCTTATTGTGGTGCCAGCTCAAGGATTTCATATTACGAAATATTTTTGTCATGACTAATTCATGAACAGGGAAAAAAACATTTTAAGGGAAAACTCATTTACATTTATGTTGTATTTTATGTTGTCCAATACAAGCTTCGTATGGTTTTACTACGCTTATATTGGACCTTCATTGGTGACTCGGTAATAGACTCTCACTTTTTATGTGTAGATATAATTGGCCCCTGCGTCTCACATTCTACATAGAATAAAATTGAAAGAAATTTTTATGTTGTAAAATCTTTGAAAAAATACTTAGTACAGATTTTTTTAATTTAAATTATCATAGATATTTTTTTATACAAACGGTTCTTAGATATTGTACATAAAATCCTACAACTATTGTACAGTTGATTTACACGACTGTGCTAATTTATTGTATCTTTGCTAATTCCCTATCTGCAGCCAAAGCTCTCTACATATACTTGATACTGATAATGTCATTTCATAACCTATTTCAATTTTCTCTCACTTGCTGTGTGCCCTCGCGCAATTATCTTCTCCATATATCACCAGAAATGGTTTCTAAAACTGTACACACTTTTAGCGAATCCTCTCTCTGCGTTTGTAAAATTTCTAGCAACTTTGTTGTTATTACAAGCCTGTCCTCGTATTCGGACCAAAGGCTAAACAGTGTACGAGGCGCTCTACATAATCGCGCTTCCCGTATATCTTGCTGCTGCCGGCCACTATGCTGTTGCTGTGAGTTATTTATACCTTGATGATTTTGTGATTGTGCTGGTTATGTACGGCATATCCATATGGTAAAATCCAGCTGTCATATCTTTTCTGTATTTTTGAGATGAAATACGTAATTTTTTAAATTGTGTGTTGAACTTTTGCCTGTCTTGTTGCTTCATTTGTTTTTCATGACGCACTTCCGCCGTTAAACCGAAGATCCCATTGTGCAAATCTTGCACGTTTAAGTTTTGAGAACTATTTGTTTGGTTTGTTGAACCGTCTATTTCTTGCATTCTGAAGCCATCATTTCCATCCCTGATTATCACTATTGGTACTTTTGATACTAATGTTGTGAGATCCTCTTCTTCACTGACTTTGAATGTGTCGTATATTAGACTTGAAGCATGTAATCCAGAATCGTCTGTAACTAATATACCGTTGTTGGTAGCTAAATATAAGACTACAACAGCATACAGTCTTTTATGTGTGTCATGAATATTTGGTGGGCTGTAAAGTCCTACTATATCTTGACTTAAAAAAGTCATTATTTATGATATCCGCAAGAGGATTAATTTAGTAGATTCATGGTCCTATGAAACCACATAAGATTACAGACACTTTAGCGTCTGGATATGGCATCAATTCACTCGTGTATGTATCAGCCTGCCTTCTTTGTCGTTTGCGTCGATTGCCCTCAGAAGTTACTGCCCACCTTCCCCTCGCCTCTGCGTCGTCTCTTGATGCTCCTCGTCTGTGGGCATGGGTACATGGGCACTTTCTGAAGCTGTGAGTTCCTATATCAGGAATTCTTTAAGTCCGATAATTCGTTCAAGAGCACTAAGAGTGTAGTCGGTCTTCAATTCATCGTCCCGACCTGTAATTCCGTTAGACGTAAACGTCCACTATAAATTTGGATTTGTATAATTATTTCTACCTTCTAGTCTCTCGATAAGATGATGCTGTCAATCCAGCCAATGAGCACATAACAGAATTCATCGAGCCAAGAAAAATCTGCCGCGATACTTGACTTCTGTTTCGTATATTCTTACTCCTGACGACCTCTATAAAAATTGCATCCGAGAAGCCTGTGTCACATTTCGAATCATTGTATTTAAAATTGCAAGCATCACCCACCCTGTGAACGAGCTGAAAGGTCCATGTCCAAAGCCCGTGGAGGCATGCATTTTGAATTCTTTCGTTATTCAGATTAATATTTACACAATATATTGATATATTCGCCGTACTCAAGAGGTCGTTTCTCAAAACCCTCTTTACCCTCCCCACGTAATTCAAATCGTGTGATAGTTTTGATGAGCTGGTTAAGTTCAGGGAACCTTGTAGGATTCCCTTTCTTGTCGATTGGATCTCATTCCATGTTACATCTTGGCATAAACCAAGATATTGCCTACTTGTCAAATAAGATATTGTTAGCTCTTTTGTAGGTCGGTCTATCATCTGCATCTGGAACTTCTATACCATAAGCTTGTTGATTGAAGTATCTACAAAATTCGTCAGGTTTAATTTCAAGGAGAATTGTTTTAAGTGCATCATCTCACATATTAGTATTTTGATTGAAGTCTTGGTTTGGTTTCCACCAGGTCAAGAATCTACGGGGTACAGTCAAATATATTTTTGAACTTTCTACGCTGGGCATCGTTGTTATGCTTGCGATGTTTAACACTGATTGTATTGTGCTTGTTGTGATTATTATTATAATTTAAAAAAAACTAACATCACTATCATCCAAGATTATGCGACCATAAAAATATTATACCTCAAACCACACGTCCAATTATGTTCGAGAGTGTATTTGTTGATATCCAATGAAATCAAGCACTATATTTTGAAATTTTTAAAGTCATACAAATTCGTAAATCTGTGCATATTCTACGATGCTGTGCATGACCACTTCCGTAGTGAATCATCCTTTTTTTTACCAAGTATAGAGCAGGAACACGTTTATTTACACTATAATATATCATGGTACTTCCCTCCTAGAAAATATAGGTCCAATAAGAATTATAGGTGAGTCCCAAGAGAAGGAGTATCAATATCCCTATATATTCTTTCAGCCAATCAATCTGCACCATTTGGAGATATTTTGTCTGGACACTACTTCATCGTAAATCCGGCCCAGGCACTGAAAACCTTTGGTTTTTATCACTTTGAGATATATTTGACCCGTTAGATAAACCTTCCGATTTTTTGTCATGTATTGGTTTCGATGTCATCCTTAAACAGGACAAATTTGCCATAAAAACAAAGAAAAACAAACCAATTTTTGTTGTTTTATATTGATTCAAAATATAGTTTGTGTCAAATATAAAATCGTTTCTTATTGGAATCATTTTATATTCGTCAACATGAGTAATTATACATATTATTATTTTATTTAATAGAACCGAAAGTACTGAATATATGACTTTTTGTTTTCAAATTAGAAGAATGTATCACGTCATTCATAAAAAAGCACCTAATCAACGAATTTACTACGTCGTATTCTATTGGTCTATAGTAATTCGGCATATTATACACGACAAAAAAAAACCACTGTTTAGACATTTCATGCACGTCGTCGAATTTAATTCGTTCTAAGGACGACAAAAAAACACACCATATTTACGAGGGATGCACATACTCGACAAAAAGCCGATATGGAACAATCATATTGGAATAGTCACTCTTAGTCATATGCTAGATCACTTGATCTGCACATACTCAGAAGAAGAAAAACCCCCGAATCCTGAAATTTTGACTGGACATATCATAGCGTGCGACGGTTGTTAGTTTATACCAAACACATCAATCAGCTGACTGCCAGACTGTCAGCATGTCGCTCAAAAACATCATCAATATATAGTTATATACTAAAGAAACTAAAACCAAACTGTCACACTTTTCACAACCCTACTATGACACCCTATATAGTACAACGTATAGCAAATCATTGGACCTTTAACCATCACCATGCCACCCAAAAACGTCCTAAGAAGTACTCTCTCGAGCAAGATAAAAAGGCACAAAACAACTTTTAGAACTGTTACTGGCCCACTAGGACTCGATGTTTCTCAATCTAAGAGAACCATATAGAGTGGTGATTACGGTTTTAATCTACATACCGACATCAACGACGAAAACTGCGCCGCTATGCTAGCTACAGAATATACCATCGTCTAGCCAATCATGGCGCCTATAAAACGACATGTGCGTTCATCATATCGTTTGTTAATTTCGAGTGGTAAGGAACTGGTTATCAAAACAACCTATCATGTTTACCCTAGCCTAATACATGCCCGTGGATCCATACTTAAGAATCCCAAGTACACAAAGCAAGTATTAGCTCGCTTTACATAAATCGAAGATGAAGATTGCGTCCTCGTTCTCCACATTACAAATGTGTTCTACTTCAAATTCCAGACTAGATGAATCTCTCATAACGATGAGGCAGTTCAAATAGGACTAGTTGCCATCCTATGTACATTCGGCTTGTGTCGTAGTGACGACCTAAACTATATCCACTGTGGGATGTAGAGTTCAGTTTGAGCACAAGCTCTAGCAAACAAGAGGTAGCAGTATCTATGGTCAACAGACATGGTGAGAGGAATCCGAAGAACAACAACGCAAGCCAGAGTTCAATGATGGTAAGCATCGCGAAATGACGTGTGTTTGTTTGCTGCTCCTGTAAAGACGATGACGTCGAGCAGATACGACTCATGAATACACTTTGTCCATTGCAAATCATCGAAGTTTACATTGCCCGGAGAGCTACTTGAAAATTCTTCGAGCTCGAGACCACCGTACCATGCGATTCGCCATACCATTGGAATGAGACAGCACAATCTTATAGCAGAACGTCTGAATGATATGTTTCCGGCTCTGTACGAGGGAGCGGATGACAATACATTGAAGTCGCCGAAGCGAAACGTGATACACAACAAAATGTAACTTAACTGGTAGTTTGCCAAGGAGTGTCCTTTTTATGAGAAGCGAGGTGCGAGGCGGCCCTAAAAGCCACACCCAAAATGTCATGTTCGTAAAAAGCTGTTGATTTTATTTTGTCTGGACAAAATTTGATCGTAATTCCGGCCTAAACACAAAAAAGTTGAGGTTTATTTGTTTGGACAAGTTTTCATCACAATTCCGGCTCGATCAACGAAATTCTTTGGTTTAATTGTCTGCACATATTTTAATCGCAATTCCGGTCCAAACACTGAAGTGTGTTGGTTTATTTGTCGCAACACATTTTTACAGCCAATTGTTACTAATATACACTCTGAACATGTTACGTCACACTACGTCAAGGCACCTAACACGCTACGTCAGGGCACTTAACAACACTACGTAAATATTGCCAATTGTACGACTCTTTGTAGTACTCTATATGTCTGATACAAACTAACCCGATACCATTTTTTTTAAGGACATACAGGGCTCTATAAAACTTTTTTTTGTCAAATTTTCAATTTTAAGTGTTATATGCACTCAAATATACATTAACTTGCTTTATTAAACCTTCGCTAACTGCTAGTACTTCTTAATCTAGCGTATCAGATTTGACACCGACAGTCCACTTCCGTATGAATCGTATAGCTTGTCGATAGCTGATTGTTCAAAATTACCACGGGCAATAAGATTCTCCATTGCCCTCCAGAATATTAATCGGAAACTGTACACCTGTTTCACACGACCCCTCTCTACCGATGAAAAATATTTTGCTGACTTATTTTCATTATATCCAAGTTCATATTCTTTCCATAGTAATTGGAGTGTTCTCGGGCCCTTCATCAATACAGCTGGACGAACATTTATACTGCTGCCAGCGCTCGGATTGTTCATACCTTGACTATTTTCCATTGCCTTGATTATTACTGTTATTTCCAGCGGTGTGATTTCTGGAGCGAAATTTCATGTTATTGAACTGACTCATCAGTTCTCGCCTGGTACGCTTCAGCACTTTCTGTATTTGATGAAGCCGAACAGTATTTGTAATTTCCATTTCTTCTACAATCCGTTTCAAATGTCTAATTTCAGCTTTCAAAGACACAATTTGGTTATGGAGATCCTGTACAATATCACTGTTTACACCGTGCGCTTCAGCACTTTCTGTATTTGATGAAGCCGAACAGTATTTGTAATTTCCATTTCTTCTACACTCCGTTTCAAGAGTCTAATTTCAGCTTTCAAAGACACAATTTGGTTATGGAGATCCTGTACAATATCACTGTTTACACCGGTGAAGTCACTACCGTTAGCCCTTGTGTCGTCTTCTATTTCCTGTGCGCAAAAGTCATCTGTCCCAGCGATTTTAATTACTATCGGCGGTGATTATAATTACTATTTAGTTGAGAGACGTCGTGTGGTATTGTGTCGAATCTGCTCGCGGAGCTTTTGGAGTTCATTGTGTCGAGGTGTGCACCCGCCCCTCGATTCTAGATAAGCGCAAATAGTGAACGGGAATTTGTCCGGAGGTATGTTACATGTCCAAGCGGGTTTTGTAAGTAGTACGAGTGGGTTTATACTGTTGATCGAGTCAAGATGTAGCCCAGGCAGCCACCAAGGTACTCCGCAAATTGGCGTGCTGGAAGTAATCCGCAAAAGCGAAGAAGCCGTATGCGCTGGTATGAGAGTTTCGGGAATGCAGTGCCTGTTGTGATGGCTGCTGCCTGGATTAGTACTGAGTTGTACCGTTCGTACAGCGGCTTCAGCGGCATGCCGAATAGGTGGAGCTCATGTAATGATATTCAGACAATAGGTGGCCGTTGAAAGAATGAATGCCTTGAATATTTTCAACTGATTTCACGGATCGCGCCAGCTGAATCCATGAAGCCCATCGCCCGGAAGGATACTGTAGCCTGGATGCTGCCACGAGGTGATCCCATGCCCTGGGGCAGTAATATTCCTGAGTATTTGGAAAGCTGTGGATATATTTCAAAGTTCCACCGCCATGGGTATGAGAGGGATAAGTAGGCGTCTGTTGAGAGCCTACTAACGTTAGCGTGTTGAGATATCCTTTGATAAGGAGAGGCGGTACCGTATGCATCATACTCGAGGATCTCTTTCGGGGCTTAAGTATCCTTTGCTCTAGACAGGATTGGCGACCTCAATTATCAATCGCGTTCAGGAAGGGTTGCAGTCGAACAGACTGCGGAGCATGGATGCGTGTGTCATCTACAAAGAGGCAGGAACGGAGGAGTTTTGGCCGAAATTGCGCAAGCGTAATAGCTAAGGAGTCCATATAGGGATAGTATTATTTATTTCAATTTGGATGAAGTTTTGTATGTCTAAATGTACATCAGGCTTCGTATTCGTTGGAGAGGTTCTGTGGAAATTGAAGTAAAGTTGAGATTGTCGAACTGCCGCGAGAAGCTCGGGGCGAGTGATGCGACAATGGATGACACATGGTACATTAGTTCGCGGCGATGGATACATAATACCTCTACCAATGGGTGAGAACTAAAACCTGTGTGCCATTGCGTAAAATAAAGCTGGCCCACGCTTGTAGTGGTAATATGGGCTGAGTCGGTCTGTGATATTTTGAACGAGATACCAAGGAAGGTGAGGTTGTCATCCGCAATTCTGTTTTGGAGCTAAGTTGGGGGCTGTCCAATACCACACCACACAACTGATGTATTTGGAATATCCTGGCTGCCATAGTGGGAAGTATCATAGGT